ATCTTTTAAAATTAAATTCTATTTTCCTCTGATGATGAAGAAAAAAAGCACTTAGGTCTACCAAATGTCATAATTAATTCTTATGTTAAACAATCAACATTTGGCAGATTCTTTGAAGACAGCAGGGCAGAAATAATTCACAAAGCAAGACAATTGTATGGAGTCAGTATGAGGCATTGACTGGTGACAGATATTCAGAAATTAAGTCAGATCCTTGCTTATCATTTCCCTATGGATGTGATGCTTGTGTGTACTGGAGAGAAGAATAAAGATTAAGAACATCAGAGAACTGTGAGGAAAAAGTAAGAGGAATAGAGTCCTCACAAACAAGAGGATTCTGTGATCTTCATTACACAAATGATATAATAATAATAAAGATGATGATGATGAAAATTCAAAATATATTAAATCCTCATACCTGATTAATTAAAGCAAGATTATGATCTTTATTACACAAATGATATAATAATAATAAAGATGATGATGATGATGAAAACTCAAAATATATTAAATCCTCATGCCTGATTAATTAAAGCAAGACAACACTGCAAATGCATGGATGACAAGTCTAAGAATGTTAACAAGTAGATTTTAAAAAATGTTTAGCATCAATTTATATCAATAATTATGAATCTTTTAGGCAGGTAGGGACCATTTTTATAGAAAATGAAGGAAGAGCTTGGGCTGTATAAGGCAGGCTACTGCCATCAGATGAAGGGAGGTGAACCTGCCCCTCTGCTCAGCACTGCTGAGGCCTCACCTGCAGCCCTGGGTCCAGGTCTTGGATGGAGGGGGTAATGAGGATGGAGCCATGCTCTTCTCAGTGGTGCCCAGTGCCAGGATCAGTGGCAATGGGTACAAACTGGAACGCAGGACGTTCTGAACACCAGAAAACACTTTTTCAGTGTGAGGGTCATCACGCCAAGGCACAGGTTGCTCAGGGAGATTGAGGAGTCTCTCTCCTTGTAGATATTCAAAAGTTGTTTGGATACAGTTCTGGGAAGGCTGCCCTAAGTGCACCCAGCTAATCGTGAGGGGGTTGGATCAGATGACCTCCAGAGGTCCCTTCTCACCTCAACACTTCTGTGTGATTTTGTAATACAGAGACTGCAATTTTTCTACTAGTGGTAGACATGTTACTGAGCATTCAGACACTGCTGGAAGCTGCTTTAGAAGTCTGCTGCCTCTTAGAGAAAGAATACAACATTTATAAATTCATGAGTTGAAAGAAGCACTGGGAAGGCGTCTTTTTGGAACATACACTTTAGCAGATGGTGACTCTGCTCACAGTGACCACAGTATCCAGTTACAAATTTGGCTACTAGGAGTGCTTTTTCTTATATTTCTCATATTAAAACTTCATTATATTCTATAGAAAGTAATGTATTTTTCTACTTTAATGTATGTTTTGTGCTTGGCAGTGTATGTGATAAGCTATACATGACTGATAACTCTACCTTAGGTAGATATGCTCACTGCTTTTTACTTCACTATGGAAAAAATTCAATATTGTTAATCTCCCTTTATCACATCTTTGTCTGAACTTACACATGACTTGCAAGACAGGGTTTGGGGTTTTTTTTGTGGCTGCTCCTCCTCTGTAGGTCCAGCAGGCAGCCTGAGGGTTACAATAATTGACACTTATGAGAAGCAACAGATGGACCTCCACAAAGTAAACCAGAAGCTTCCTTCAAAATATCCTGAATTTGCATCAACATGCCAAAGAGCTTGCATGTTTTGCGTACTTTTAGGCGTAGGGTTTTCACTTTCTCTGCTTCCCTTCTTCTTTCAGTGGTCTAGATTTTAGGTTGTCCTTCTACACCTTGATGAGAATGGGAGGAAAGGTAACTTCACCTTGTGCAACCCAGCATTCAAAGAAAGTAATGTCTCCTGGCCCAGAAGCATCTAGTTGTGTCAGCCTGTTGCCCTACCAAAATTTATTAATTTTGCTTCTTCAGCACTGATGAAGTTCTGTGGCTGCTAATTCCAGAGTCAGCGCAGTGAACCCTGGCTTGAGGCCTTGTGCTGCACTGTGTTAATCTCATATTAGGCTCTGGGTCTAATACAAACCTCTCTGCAATAACTTGTAGAACTTTTTAATGTTCAGGCTATGGAATCCAGTGTGTACCTGGCATTTAATACTCTCAGTGTGCATTATCTTTTTCAAATAACAACAAAAAATGTATGAAGTGTCTTTATCAAAGACGTTAAACTGTCACCATTTTGACTGTATTTTTAATTTGCTTCCTGAAAATTTATCTTTTTCAAATAACAACAAAAAATGTATGAAGTGTCTTTATCAAAGATGTTAAACTGTCACCATTTTGACTTTTTAATTTGCATTTTTAATTTGGTCCCTGAAAATGGAGGTTTCTGTAAGGATGATCTGCCTTGCATTTTAAAGGTGTGGTGCAGAATAATTTATTCATCAAAGTAATATATATATATTATACCCTACATCAAATAAGTATAGATTTTAAACACAAAATAGAACTCTAATTATTCTTTACTATTAATTCACATTCTCTCATACTTCTCTTGATTCTCCCCCAATTTAAATAAATGTTTAACATGTTCAACTATCAATCACTTAAATAGGCACTCAGAATCAGATGGGATACAAAGTTACTGGTTCACCAATAAAAATATATATTTAGAAAAAACCATAAAGCAGATATAAAAATAGCTTTACTGTGTTAAAATTAAATATATGGCTGTTAAGCCTGTTTCCACAAGCAGGATTTAATGTAGCTGCAGCTGCAGCATTCTCTGCATATAAAACTCTTTATATTACAAAAAAAAAAAAAAAAAGAGTCACCTTTCAAAAATGCTGCTAGTGAGTTATATGTCTCGATAGGTATCCAATACTTACCCCTCAGAGGTGCTCTTTCAGGGGCTCTAGCTCCCTACCAAATGGAAGTGTTTGCATTCCCAGTCATTTGGACAAAGCTTAGCAAGATAAAATGATTTGTTATGCCAATAAAGTTTTTTTTTCGCTGTAAAATGGTTTGTTACACTACTATTGCTACATAAAAATGTTATGAAAATTAAGTAGGTAGTAAGGTCCATAAAGGAATAGTCTGCTTTTGGGACTAGCTACCAGGAAAAGGTAAAAAAAATGATTTCATTATCTACATACAGTTCTGCAGTTCTTTGTAAAGACAACCTAAATGGCATTTTAACTAACAACTGAAATTGGTACTCCAATTAGGAAAGCAGTTATGCATCCAAAAGGGATGGGAACTTCTTCAAGTTAGTACTATTCAGAAAATGGAAGGAAATTGAAAATTATTTGATAATCCAGGTGGTGACTTCTGTGTTGTGGCACAGTACATGAAACAAGCCTAAATTACAATTCAGAATGGAAACTGAAGTAGAGATTCATGGTATGTTAATCATAACATGTCACGGATGGCATAGCAAGACAGTAAAACTGGAGGAAAACTTTACTTTTCATACTGTATTTTAATTTTAGCATTGTTTATATTAACCAAAGCACTATCTGAAACGGGAAACTCTTTAATTCACAGTCATGACTTATAAGTTCATGGCACATTTTAAATTTTCAATTTAATCAAAATTTTGAATTTTATTTAATCCAGCACAGCAATCAATCAGTTCTTTAGAAAGGGAATGCCAGTTACATCTTACAATTTATAATTATTACAGAATTTATATATTTTTAAATTTAATATTTTTAGTTTGTATACATTAATTGTGTTTATTCTAATAGACTAATATTAATATTTGTATTCCTGCCATTTGACAGAACGGTACTGCACTGACAAGTTGTTGATCACTTCCTGTGATCAACAACCAGCTGTATTTAAAAATAATTTTTCAAAATAATTTTAAATTTAAAAATAATTTTAAGTTTACCAGTGAGATTTATTCCACAGATGCCTTCTACTTTGCAAGTGGCATTATAAACCAGATTGTTAGTAAAACATCTTGAAATACTGAAGAGACCAGAAATATGCATCCCTTCTGGCTGCTCAGACCATGTAGCTCACCTGACTAGCAGGTGTGGACTGCGCCTGTTCTCCCACTGTCTAACAGGCCCTGGTGGCCATGGTTAGGACCATGAGCCATGAGCATTTATGTTCTCAAAACAGGTCTGGACGTCTGTGGTCATTGATCCTGTGTGCAACCACTTGGGCTCAGCCAGTTGCACTGCACTACACACAGCCAAGAAGAGAAAGAGCTACCACTTCTAGGAGATCACACACAGCTCATGCCAAACCACCTGTCAACACCAGGCAGAAGCAGCCAAGAGGAAAAACTGTGGCCAAGACTGGGTTGTTGCTCCCAAAGCAACTCATTGAGTCCCAGCACTTCCCTGCACTGCAGGCTTTTATAAAAACTTCTTGTAATTGAATTTTTTGTCTGGTGCTGCAACAAATGTGGTCAATGGAGGTAGAGTGTTCTGAAAATGCAGAGTTGAGGGAGAGAGAGAATTACATGGTTAAATACAAATACATACTTTAATTCCTAATATTATATGACCTTTTTCAAGGATTAATCCATAGCTGAGTCTGTGAAGAAACTTAGCTATTTATCGTGTAAAATACATACACAATCAGGGCTGAATAAATGGTGTCATTGATTGGGAACTACTGAAAGGTTTAGGCAAATTAATTTTGGGTAAATCTACTTTGCTTTGCTCTACATCTCAATGAACGAGAACCAAGGACTCAAGTTAATTTCCACCTATCCCAGCTATGGCCAGAATGGGTACTATGCCTGCACAGAGCTTGAAGAGATATAAGGAAAAAAAAGAACAGTGCACATTTTAATAATATTATTAAACAATATTAATAATAATTAATTATTAATTTATTATTAATAATTATATAATTCTCTAACACAATTAAAACACAATTTAAAATCTCTGCAGCCATCCATCACTCACTACACCCCCTTTCCAGGACATGCAGCAAGAGCAGGCTTCGTGTGAAAGGACCAATGGAATCCCAGCACGAGAAGAACCATGAACTTACGGAGAGGAGTATTTGGATAGCACTGTGAATGACCTCTAGGTACTGGAAATCAATGATGCAGCCTGTCACGGAGACGTAGGAGTAATCCTCGAGGACGCCGGGGGAAGAAGGACGCACCACCCTTCGTATGCAGCCGGGCCCGTGCTCCCGCCACCAGGAGCGGTGCATTGAGATGTTAAAGGTCATGAGATCTGTTTCCTAGGAGAGGGAGGGGAAAAAGTGTGAACACATTTGACTTTCTGTTTTTAAAGTAAAGAAAGGGGAAATAAATATATTTTCTATTATAAGGGCAATGAGGTAATTATCCTTAATCGTCACCCCAGTAATTCTAACATGAAAGTAGAATGTTTAAGTGGAGAGAGGAAATGGCAAATATTCATTGCTAATTTTGCAGTTGTGCACAGTCACTTCTGCCTGACATAAGAACCATCCTACCAGGTACTGTACAAACACATGTTCCCTTGGACTTACTGCCTGAAAAACAATTTTAATGTTACTTTATTAGAATGCTAGAATGTCACTTAAGGACTCTTCTTTTTTTTCTTTTTTTCTTTTTTTTTTTAACAGACAATAGAACCAGTTTTACCCCATGGTACTGGAGACAACCTAAATGAAATTTACATAATCTTTGATGATTTCCATCACCACATTCAAATGAGATGTTTCCAGCCAAGCACCCTGCTCTCTTTTCTTCCCTCTGCCCCTCATCCAGATTACCAACTTCTCAGTTTAGGGAAGGGACCTACATTTGTGATATGATCTGGGTTTAAAACAAAAGCAGTTAGTTCTCTTCACTCAAATCATCTTCCAGATCTGATATTAAATATAACCAGATGAGTACTGGTTGCACTCTAACCCACGCAGGATGTATACTGTCTGTGCATTTTAGTAAAAATCATACAACTTCCACGTGGAGCAGTGAAAGTGGCAAACCTACCAATGTACTAAAGATTTTCTAAGAGCTTACCTATGAAGTACAAGCAGGAAAATTCATTCGAATTAACAAAACATATGGTTCTTCAGATCACGTATAAAAAAAAAATACATGTATAAAAAAAATAAAAATACACTCAAGTTGAATGAATGCCATTTAAATGCAAAAAAAACACCCAACCTCCTCACTGGAGAAAAATGAGAGTTGAGTTATACTGATATTTTAAATAATTAATTCAGATTTATGTTCCCATGTTTCCCATTCTGAACTCCAAGTAAAAAATGTCTGCAAAATTGTCAACGATATGCCCACAAAATACCCCTGCCTTCCATACATGACAGTTTGTGAGCACTGCCATGACACCAATTTGCCCTTTGAGCCCCACAAATATGTCCTGTCTGTGGCCATTTACTTCTACCCGGGCCAAAGGGAAATTCAGTCCAGATTCCAGTTGCAGAAGCAGTTAATTTGTTATTTTCCTTCATTATTTACCTTTATTCTGGACACACCTGAAAATTAACATGGGAATTAAATCCTGCCACCCTAACTATATCCTAGTTATCAGTTAGAAATATGCCTTTGTGATCTGCTGGTTTTTCTCTCCACCACTTCTCTACCCTTTAAATACAGAGTTGCTAGATTTCCAAATGCATTATTTCGAGTTGATGAGGCATTTGTCTTTTGCCTTTGCATGTCAATCCTTGATACTGGTTTAGAAAACTTTCAGCTGCAACATAAAATCAGCTTGTGAAATAAGAAGCTGACAAGCAACTCAGTTTAATGAAAATATAATCATGAACATAGAGTCACAGGAAACAGCCAGGGCTTTCTTTGTACAACAATGCCAGAGATTGCACAGTGTTATCAAGTGCTTTTAAAGATTGTCAACTCAAAGCAATGCTAGTTGTCAAGCAGCACACACATATTCAATCTTACCTAGCTCAGAAGCCCTTTGCTGAGAAGGAATATGGATTGGTGGGTTAGTGTGTATCACATAATGTGAGGTAACACTTTTTTATCAAACTGGGGGAATAAGTTGTGGCATCCATGGTGTTGGTGTCACAGCTTCTTTTGCCCCTGAAGGTTTATTTATCCTTTGCAGTTTTTTGTCTTTATGTTTTAGAAATCATAGTCTGTTACAGTACTCATACTTGGCTAGTTCACAGCCAATGACAAACAACCAGTTTGTCAAACAGCTTGATAAATTTTGCCAACACATGTAAAATGTAAGATTTTGCATATGAACAGTAGAAACCCTTTATAAATAAAATCTTTCATTTTGGGAATACAGTTATGTGCGGCTCTTGGGGTGATTTAAAAAACATGTTTACTTGATGGTCATGGTCATGTTCATGTTTTGAGGCTGCTGGTGATTCAGGTAAAAAGAAAACAGAAAAAAACCCCCAAAATAACAAAAAAAAAAACAAACCCAAAACAAACAAACAAACAAACAAACCAAAAAAATCCCCAAACAAAGAAAGAAACAAAAAACCAACCAAAAAGTCATCACAGCATTTGCTACCTTTTTAAAAATAAATTCTCATTCAGAAATTCTGGATAAAGTCTAAAAGAGGAGATTTTCATAATTACTTTTCACTTTGTGTATTATACTCTGAGCGCTCAAAGCAGGTAAAACCAGATAATGATGGCCCAGCAAGGATTAGTTTTAGAAATGCAAACAAAACCACTTGGTGCATTAGCTTGACCTCTGAAATATCACTTCACAAAATGGCAACCATAAGCCGTTCAAGCTGATAAATGTTAAGCTGCCAATCAATAAAAGAAAGCCTGACAACAGAAAAATCAATTTTTACTCTTTTTTTTTTTTTTTTTTTTTTTTTTTAATCAGCTGAAACACTTCTCCCTAACTACTTGGAGATTCTTAATCTGTAAAGTGAGTCAAATGCAACAAGAATTAAAAACATTAACCTGTATCTTTAAAGTCATTTACAGAACCATAGAAAATTCAAAGACTCTTTGCTGGGATGTACAGGTTTTAAATATCAGTGAACTTCTGAGAGTGTTTTGGTATTTGTAAATTCACAGCTTGGAAACTCTGAGCATGCTGGAAAAGCTGCTGCCCAAGTGGCTTATTTTCAGTTCTACATTAAATGAAAGTTAAGAATTTTCAGAAAGTACAAGCAGATGCCTAAAGTTTCTCAATAGATCATTTACTATCTTCTAATTTTTCATATTAAAAAAAATGTATAAAATGTTTAATCATCAGTGACAAGTCAAATGCCTATTTCTTAGGAAAAAATGCTGCTGCTTCAAAGCAAGGCTTTAATGTCAGGCTCTGAGAAACCAAGAAAAACCAAATTGTCCTTCTAACTAATCCAGTTGGAATTCATTTAACAGTTCAAATTTCTATAATGGATTTTAAAATTGCGCTCCTCTGAGCATACATCTCGACTTTAATACCATTCATCAGCAGATAAACTATACTTCCTCAGATGATAACTACTCAGACAGACACCATGAGCAGAGAAGGGGCAGAACACAGGCAACAGGTCCTCCAGGAAAATTGTGAGACTTAGAAGTGACACAGGGAAGTGAAACCCCATCTCCTACTCTTCCCTTCTTTAGTCAGCATTAAAGCAATACTCCAATCTGTGGTAAGAAGTTTGGTCCTGGGTATAGGATCAGCCCCATAATCACACTTTACTGATGTAGAGTCCCACTTAACTGTCTACTACTGGCTTAAAGCATTTTAAGCCTTTAAACTATATATAGGATTTGTGTTGGCTGTCAGCCCAAGGATTAATTTTGATTATTATTGGAAATCATTGCTATGGCAGATACATTCTTTTAAGGTGAGATGTAATCCCTGTGAGTCTGAGTAATGCTGTTTCCAAGTGCTTGGGGATAATGTTTAATTTTATTATGTCTGCTTAAATTCTACATTTGTTTTCAAGTGGAAATTTTCTGTTGGGCAGGGCTTTGAGCAACCTGATCTAGTGAAAGATGTCCCTGCCCATAGCAGGGAGGTCAGTCTAGATGATCTTTGAAGATGCCTTCTGATCCAAAGAATTCTGTGATTTTTTTGATTCAATTTTTGGGTGGTGAATCTAGGTAAAATTTAACAAATCATAGCATAAGATGGCTTATTTTAAAACTAAAGAGAAATGAAAGACATGATGTGCCTTTCATTTATTTGTGTAAAATTTACACACAGTATCTATAACAACAAAAAAAAAATTAATGAGAAATTAGGACTACCTAGAATCACTAGTTTTAAGGAAAACAAAAAGAAGGCACTGAAACTCCAGGGAGAAAACCCAATGCACCAAGATTGCCTTGCATAACAAATAAATATTATGCTGCAACATAACTACCACCACAGCTATTTGTTTTTTCAGTGTATGCTTCTGCTTTATGACATGTTATTTTCTATTTCTTTCATTCCTTTTTGGTATTTGAAAATACACTCTTTGAAAAGTATAATAAAAATGGTGCTTTGAGCAGGACAGAGGAAAACCCCTTTTTTTCTTCAGAAAACAGCAGTCATTACTTGAAATTTTATAGACAAGTGAAAGGCCACAAAGACTTGGCAAAACATGATGTTAGAGACCGTGACTTTATTGTTGCTTGTGTGGTACCTAGCCTTTCCTAACACTTTTCATTTTATTGATACACATTATATTGTTTATTATGAGTGGACATTAGGCTGAGGCATTAAATATTCCCATTCCATTTCCTAAGTGTAACAAGGATGCAGTGTTCTGACTTGCTACACATATTTTGTTTAAGCAGTGAGGAGAAAAGATTTTCAATCAAACACCTGCTCAAAAGGTAAGAAAAGTTTATATGCATGATGCTAGAAAAGGTATAGCACATTTTCTTGTAATTCCCTAGACTCAATTATGTTTGTAATTAAGATGCACAGGTGTTTCAGGGACAAGGGACACGCAAATTCCTTAGTATCTAATCTCAAGGACACCTTAATCCTCATTAGATACAAATGATGTGTCCCAGCATTAATGAAATCCACTCTAATTGTGGAAGTACTTGGAAACACGACTATCAGCTATTAGCCAGACCTCCACTGGCAGCATCACCTCACTTTTCCACTCTGCTTTTACTTGAAACAACAGGTTCTGATTCCAGTTTGCTCTGTGTGTGACCAGTTATAATCCATCTCCCCTCACTACTGCTGAACAAACAGTTTTGGAGGCCTGGGCAGACAATACTGAAGAAGACTGAGTCCATTTCCCATTTCCAAACGGGGAATTTTGTATCACTAGCTCCCACATTGTCTTTATTG